TTCATTAATAGTATTTCCTTTAGTTAGTTTATTCTTTCATTTCTTTAATATGTTTTGATTATTTGTAAAGGATATCAATCATAATCTATTTTATTTTGCTTCCGCATTTAGAATAAATATATACATTTCCTTTTAATTTTTAGGGTCGTTACATATAGTGTGATGAATTACTATAGAGGTGAATTTTTAAGAAAATATATAGTGGATAAATTACTATAGAAATTTTGTTAAACTGTTATTTATTGTATTGCCTCTTATTAAAATACAAATATTCGAAATTTTTTCACAAGCTTGTATAAAAGTCCCTCATAACATCAAGTGCTTTATAATGTTATTGATTGAATATTTATTTGCTCGCTTCTTGTAATTTAGACACTCATCTTTCTTCTTCAAACAATGATGACTAGCCACTACAAGAGTTCTTTGATAATGGTTATTTTTGCTATTTTGCTCTTACAAATCTTAACATAATTTTGATAATTTTCCTTAAAATGCCATGTGAAAATGTAACGCTTTCCTTGATGTGGTTTTTGTTTTTGTTTTGTTGGAAAACCTAGTTCCGTATTTACTTTTGATAGCAAAAAAAAATTGTATAATCACTATCAGAGATCTCTTGCTTATCATATAACAAATTTATTTAATTATATTATCTTATAGTGTATTGAGTGAATAAGGTTATACAATTACGTTTTCAGCTTGTTATGGATTTAACATGTGGTGATATTTATGTGAAAAATATTTTCCTCTATATGAAGGTTAGATTTATAAGACCAATGGAAAGGTTATTACACTTATTCTCTATCATAACAAGGGTTATGTGAAGTAAAAAACTACACACAAATAAAAATTTATTTAATATGTTGAAATTTTAGTATGTCACAATTTGTCTATTGGATGATGGTCATATGTTAATACGTATTGAACATAATTAAATATCTATATCTAAAATAATATATAATAGGAAGATGTGAGACACTATGATGTAGTATACTAATTAAATATAATTTGTTATATGTGCATTTTGTTTAATTTTTAAGTGTGCATTTAATATTGACAACCATTAGTTGTAAAATCTACTAGACTCTTAAACTAGTATATTTACAAGTCAACAAAAATAAATACAAAAGAAAAATAAAAAGGATCTTAATAAAGCTAAAAAAGGAGAAAATAACTTAATAAACGTTATGCAATTATCACTAGCTTTTTAATAATAATTAAAACGAGCTAATTAAAATGCCTACTTAGTGAAACATTATACCAATCTCACTATGCAAGAAAAACCATGAAACCAATAATCTTGCGCCACTTCAACATCATGAATTATACAAAAATCATCTATCAATTTTATTCATAAGTTTGAACCATTAACTAAATAAATAAAATAAAAAAATATTTCGTGCACTAGTTTGTTATTGTTGGGTTCCGAACATGAATATAATTAATTTATATAAATTAAAGTAACCCTAAATTAATTCGTAGAAACTAATAATAGTAATCTTAAGCTAAACTGATGCATAACCGAATAAAAATAATAAGTAGATAATAAGTGCAAAATTAAATAAACACATAATTTTATGTGAAAAATCCTTTAGTGTGAAGAAAAAAATCACGGGTCAAACTTTAAATTAAATCTACTATTAATATAAATAAATATAAGATAATCCACAATGAATTAAATCAAAAACAAAAAGAAACAACATTTCTTTGTGCATAATTATAAGATAAATATAAACAAAAATCAAATTTAAACTTTTCTAAAAAATGACGAAATTGCTTATAGAGAATGGCAACCCCTTTCTTTCTTTTTTTTTTCTCTTAGTTGCCACTCTACCACATATATATATATATACAATTTCTTTCTCTTTTCTCTTCATTCTCTCTTTTTTTTCTTCTTTCTCTCTTTCTTCCGCATAACCACTTTTTTTTTTTTTTAATTTTTATTCTTCTTTGCTTCATCTATTTTTTCAGCTCTACTTCTCTCATTTTATAAATAAGAGTTGTAGTTTAAACTAACTTCTCCACTCATAAAGATTTTTGGAATTTTATTTTTTCTTTATTTGTATATTTTTTTTAATTGATTGGATCTTAACAGTTATACCTTATATAATGCTCGTGTTACATTTGATAATCAAATAATTTAATGAGAAAATAATATATGAGTATGAAATCGGTCCGTAACACATGTTATGGACTCTTAACTAATAAAGTTTTATGCAATTAATGAAAATATTTAATTATATTGATATTTGATGATGATAAGAAGCTATTAAGCGTATTATAAGAATTTATTAATTGTTATAAGTAAAACCAAACTTTCTTATTTCGTTTGTTCAAATATATAATATTTAAATTGCAAAATAAGATTTCAACTCATCTTGAATTGCAATTAAAAAAACATGATTTGATTAGATATTATTATTTTTTTATTAATTCAAATTACTATAGGCGAATTATCTCTCAATATCATAAAATGAATGACAATATATGTGAGAATGTAGCATGTCATTAACATAAAAGATCATAATGGTTAAAAATGATTTATCTATTAAGCTTTATAATCAAAGTTTGTGTGTTCTAAAAATTTACATACTCCAGCATCATTCATTCAATAAAAATCAAACCCATAATTTAATAAACCAAAGAAAAAAAGTAATAAGTTTATGAAACATACACAAATTGTCATACATTTAAGATGAAGAATAATACATAACTAGATACAATATCTTATATGTTATAAATTTTTGTTTACTTTAATTCTTTTGCAGTTATTTTTTTTTATTTTCCACAAAAAACCTTTCATCTTTTCAAACTCTCATGACTCTCTGTCTCTCATGATTGATTTTTCGCGTCCTCTCTTAGGAAATTCAAAACTTTCAAATTTGTTATTTTTTTTTCTCTTCCTATGCTTTGAAATTCAAAAGCTTTAAATTCATTATTTTTTTCTCTTAATATATTTTTAAATCAAATGTCTTTTTTATACTTGTTTTTCGCATTTCAAAATAAAAAAAAGTATTCGATTCACTTTCTTTTTCCTTTTTAAAGCTTATTATCTCTGTACTGTTCACAATTTCCTTTTTTTTTAAAATTTTTTATCTATTCTTATTTTTAAGAAGCCCCTACCACTCAAGTCAATTCATCTTTTCTCAATTTTTTTAAGTATTTATTTTTATTTATTTATTTATTTTGATTAAAAATTATGACAAACTTAAATAAATAGGTTCAAATATCTCAAATTGCGTATTTTTCTATCATTCATAACATATGAAGAGTAAATATATATTTAGAAATATGAAAAAAGTGCAATATAGATAAAACCAAGGGTGAAATTTGCAATTTACTATCTTAAAAACTAATTGTGAATTTTGTATATTTTCTTGAGTAGTGAATTTTGTAATTTAATAATTTAATAAGAAGTAAGATTACTCATCAACCGTCGGATCTCCATTACCCTGTGCGTACGGTGGAGAATTAAAACGGCGAACTTAGGGCACAAACGACATCTCAGGGTGACGCAAAAGGACCATGAGTCCCCGCCAGAGCTCGTGAGCTCGCTATAAATAAGATCCCTGGTCGACCCACTGCGCTGATAATACAGAGATAGAGATGCCATGGCGAAGCCTCGTAAGCCGAAGAACGAGGACGCGAAGCCTGAGAATTCAGGAGCCGTTGTACGTCATCAGAAGCTCTGTCTCTCCATTGACTTAAACGCCCGCCAAATCTATGGGTTCGCTCTCTCTTCTCTTCTCTCCTCTCAATCTGTCTCCATTTCTCTGCGGTTATTCGAAAATCGAGTCTGTTCAGTTAATGTTGCTTTTTTCATGTATTTCACTGATACTATAATGGCGTCAAGATTTACATATGCCGGCGACTAAATCGTAGTACTCTTGCTCTCTGCCTCTCTCTCTCTCTCTCTCTCTCTCTCTCTCTCTCTCTCTCCCGCTCTCTCCATCTTTTGGTTTTCCATGCTCTACTTCCTTCTCTGCAGTGGAATCTTTCGGATTCAATTTACTGGTGCAAACTTTGTTTTGTTAATTGAATTTCGAGCTAGACAGTGAAGTTTAGCATTATCCATTGACATCCTATCTGTAATTGCTTGAAACCTAATCATAAGATGAAGTGTGTATAATTCGCGGTAGGCTACTGTTGGTTCATTCATATATTTTATGCCATATTGGTCTGAGACGCAATTTTGGTCGATACCACTACTAAAATGGTTTCTCTTTTGGTCCTCTCTTACTCTTTAGGGAGACTATTTCTTGACCATAAGGTGAAATGTTTTATATTTGACTGTGAACTACTAGTGGTTCATTTCGTGTGAATCTATGCATGTTGGATTTCGACACGTTAGTTGCCTCAAGTACGAAATGGTTTCTTGGTTTGGAATTTCTTGGAGCGGGTGGAAATTATTTAAATACGAAATACTTCAAAGTAATTTTGCTCGTCCAACTAGGTCTCTGCATTCAAGTCAATCTAATAAATTTTTTTGTTTCTTTGTTTAGTTACACCGAGTTAGAGATTGCTGTACCAGATATCGGGTTTGTTGGGCTTCATGCCGAGAACTTGGGAATTGAGAGTGTTTTGGTTGATGGAGAACCTACAGAGTTCGAATACTATCCACACCATCAAAATCCTGAGAACGAGAACAGATGGAGCTCTGTCTCATCCCCTAGTGATGCTGCTGATGCTGCAGGCGTGGCTTATATATCATCTCTGGAGAGAGAGTTGGTGCCCAACTTACTTATCAATTGCTGCAAGCCTTTCAAGGGCTTGACTGAACAGCTGGACCAAATAACCCTAGAGGACGGCTTGCAATCATCCAGCGAAATCAAGCAGGTTACAGATAGCTATTCAAAAATTAATAATTAGTAGGAATTTATCTTCATTCTTTGTTTTCTAATTTTATCACGATGGCTTCTCCTTCCTAGCTATTGTAAATATGTAGCTAGATATATATCTAGCTATCTAGTGTCTTGTGGATTAAAATGGAACTGGATGACTAGATTAGATGTATGTTGATAATCAAGGTCTTTTTTTCTTCTAAGATATTGCACTTTCACTTTTTTTATTTCTTGATTTGATAAATTCTATGGTTGATGATGTATTTCAAAAAAGAATCTATGACAGATGTAAATACAGAAGAAAATTTATTTGTATTTACTAGCTAAAATTCTAAGAAATTTTAAGTGGTTTTCCTGGCACATGTGATGTCTCTATCTTTGGAATGTGAATATTATTTGTGATTCAGAATGTTCCGACAAATTCCATTTCTCCCTCTTTATTTGGTAGGATATGGTGGAAGTGCTCCAATTTACTAGTTATTTGGCCTAGTAGGGTATAATGATATGGTGACTCTTTGTAGAAATTCGTTAAAAAGAAGGGAATAAAGTATGAGGTGGAGGACGAGAAATCCCTCTAAAGAGAATAAGAGAAAGAGAAAAAGAAGTACATCAAAATGCAAAATATTTCAGTCTCTATGCAAAATAGCCAAAGAGAAGTCGATGAAGATGTGAATTTGCCCACATGATGTAGGATAAATTTAGACATCACATTTAGGATTTCTTAAACATTAAATCTAAGAAGTTCTAAGCATCATACTCGATTATTTGGTTGTTTCACATAACTAAAAAATTGAAAAATTATCTCAAAAGTATTTTACTGAATAAATGAAGTCTATCTTGAAAAGTGAAATGCTTCCTAAGTAACCTCTATTGATAAAATTGTGAGAATATACTACTATTATAAATAGGAAAATTGAATACTAATAAGTATAAAATCCTGAAGTTACTACAACTATAATAACAGACTCCTATCTAGTATAATAAATTTATATTTAGTAAAATTATTATTTTTGATATATTTAGGCAATTTGTACTTGGTCTATTCTTTATCATTTTTCCTTGGTTGGAGAAAACTTGTCCACAAGTTGTAAAATTGCAAGTAATGTAAACCATTGAACTTTGAGCTTCCCCATTAAAATTTTACAAACTCTGTGGTCAATCATTCTTTTTAGAAGCAAAGTAAACATTATGGAAAAAAAATTGTTTAGCAGTATAAAATCCTAGTTGTAGGAGAATCAACATATCGACTAATTGGTGCATCAAGTTTCTCCTTATATGAACTGTCTTTAGGGGAAAAATCTCGAGCAAATAGGAACATATGGGGGTTTCTTCTTGGTCCTCCACTTTCTATGCACCTTACTATAGGCAAAAGAGGTATCTGTTCACTAGGAGCTATATTGTTGTCCTCATAGGTCATTCTGTTTCATCCCAGCATGTAATTTATTCTTCATGGACAAATTTTGTAACTGGCATTTCCACTTTGTCCAGACCTAAAGCAAATAATTTTCTTTATCTTCAAGATGAGTTTTGGAGATTGGTGTTGATCCATTAGCTCACTTTGATTCAAAATAGGAGTGAATTTCGTGATTAGAAACTGAATGTCTTGGAATTGGATGCTTCAAATATTCTTCCACTTCAACTTTTGGCTATGGTTTTAGGAGGTTGCCAAATGCCTCTCAAATATCAGCTTTTAGTCCTTTCTTGAATTGAGATGCTGCTTGATTATCATCTTCTACCAACTGACTCTAAATTTTTAATTCTTCAAATCTTCTTCTACTTCAACTTTTGGCTATGGTTTTAGGAGTTTACCAAATTGCTTCTCAAATATCAGCTTTTAATCCTTTCTTGGATTGAGATGTTGCTTGACTATCATCTTCCACCTACTGGCTCTGAATTTTTAATTCTTCAAACTTTTGTGTATACTTGATTGCGTATATGTTGCTTTCGTTTAAAGCATAAACTCAATCACAAAGTTTATCAAAGTACTTGGAATGTAAATATTTGCAAAGAGTAGTTTTCATCCTATTCTATGTGTCAAATGCCGCTTGTCTCCTTGTTATATGTGCATTAATGCTATATTATTCTATTTTTGCAAGTCCAACTAATTTCATTTTTTGCAGATCTAACTCTTCATGCATCTAACACATCATAGCAATTAAGTATTCTTCCATTGAGTTAAATTTATTGAGGAAGAAATTGAGATCTCTTTTTCAATCAAAATTAGGAGCTTCGGTCTCTATCTTCTTGCTACCTTTCCCATTCTCTTTAATATGTCTTATTAGTCGTTGGGACAATCTGTAAATTTCGAAGTTGTGGAGCTAATTCT